TTTGGACTCTCGGACTCGCACCCTTTCTTGTCTTGATCTTTCTCTCTGCTCTTCTTCTCTTTACTTAGATTTCACGTGGCAGGTTCTTGATGACCTCCATGGAAGTGATCATTTCCCCATCCTTGTTTCCTTTTTCTCTTTTCGCCCTTCCCTCTCTTTCCCTAGGTGGCAGTTTGCTAAGGCAGACTGGACCCTATTTACCCTCAGTGCTGCTCTCCCTGACCTCTCCCTTCTGCCTCTCTCTCGCGCTCTCCTCCTTTTTCATGACACTGTCTTCAACGCTGCCCTCCGCTCTATTCCTCGCTCTTCCTCTCGGGGTCCACGGAAGTGCGTTCCCTGGTGGAATGCGGACTGTGCTCGGGCTGTCCGCTGTAAGCGTGCAGCCTGGAAGAGGCACCGCCGTAGGCAGACGACCGATTCTTTTCTTTTCTTTCGGAAAGCGAGTGCGGTGGCCCGTAGGGCCATCCGTACGGCTAAACGTGAATGTTGGGCATCTTATGTCTCAACAATTACGTCCGAGACCCCTCTGGCCCAGATCTGGAAGCGTATCCGCAAGATAGCGGGTAAGTTCGTTCCCGATGTTTCACCGGTCCTTCACCTCCATGATACTCTTGTGGCGGACCCGTTGCAGGTCGCTTCCGAACTGGGTTCCCATTTTTCTTCTGTTAGCTCTGGTCTTCATCTTCCCCAATCTTTCCTTCTTCGTAAACCTGTCCTTGAGTCTCGTCCTTTAGATTTCTGCACTCATCTTCAGCTTCCCTATAATGATCCCTTCTCTCTCTCTGAACTTCGTTCTGCCCTGGCCCTCTGCGGTTCTACGGCGGCGGGCTCCGATGGTATTCATTATGAGATGCTTCGCCATCTCCCTCCGAGCACGTCTCAGTATTTACTGAGTCTGTATAATCGGATCTGGGAGTCGTCGTCAGTCCCTGAGGACTGGCTCGATGCCGTTGTCCTCCCTGTTCGCAAACCGGGGTCTCTGGGTACTTCCCCTAAGGACTTTCGCCCTATTGCTCTCACAAGTTGTGTCTGCAAACTCTTTGAACGTATGGTTAACGTTCGTCTGATGTGGTTCCTGGAACACCATCACCTCCTCTCCCCTTCTCAATTTGGTTTCCGCAAGTGCCGCAGCACGACAGATGTCCTGGTGAACTTGGAGGTCTATATTCGTACTGCTTTTGCTGCGAAGACCTCCGTTGTTGCCGTCCTTTTTGACCTAGAAAAGGCTTACGACACCACTTGGCGTTATCATATCCTATCTCAACTTCATTCTTTTGGCCTTCGTGGTCATCTCCCTCTCTTTCTCCGCAGCTTCCTCTCTCGTCGTTCCTTTCGGGTGCGCCTTGGTACCGCTCTGTCTCCCTCTTTTCAGCAATACGAAGGTGTGCCCCAGGGTAGTGTTCTGAGCACTACTCTTTTTCTTGTTGCCCTCAATGGTCTTCTTTCCTCTCTTCCTTCTGGTGTCTTCTCCGCTCTCTATGTCGATGATCTTACCCTTTGTTGTCAGGGTGATGATTCGCCTCTCCTTCAACGCCGGCTTCAACTTGCAATTGATGCCGTGTCGTCTTGGGCCACAGGTCATGGCTTCAAGTTCTCTACTTCTAAGACTTGTGCCATGACTTTTACGCGGAAACGGGTTGTTCTTCGTCCCTCTTTGTCACTTTATGGTCATCCCCTTGAATACAAAGATTCCGCGAAGCTTTTGGGGTTATTCCTTGACACTCGTTTGTCTTGGTCTCCCCATATCTCTTACCTCCGTGTTGAGTGCTCTAAGGCCCTTACCCTCCTTCGGGTCTTGTCCCATACTTCTTGGGGGGCAGATAGGCGCACTCTCCTTGCTTTACATTCCTCTCTCGTCCTGTCTAAGCTCGATTATGGTTGCCCTGCTTACTCGTCTGCTTCTCCTTCTACTCTTCGCCGTCTTGATGCTTTGCACCATACTGGGTTGCGCCTCAGTTCTGGTGCCTTTCGTTCGACTCCCATCCTTAGCTTGTATGTTGACACTGGCTTCCTGTCTCTCCGGGACCGCCGTGATCGCTACTGTCTTCGCTATCTTGCGCGGTCCTTGCAACATCCTTCCTCTCGCCTCTGTCGTGCTTTAACTTTTACCCCTCCTGCGGTTCCTGTTCCTCTTCACCACCTCCCTCTTTCTGTCCGGTTATCTCGCCTACAGATAACCGGACAACTCCTACCTCGCATTTATATGTGTCGCTTGCCTCCGGAGACTAGCATCTTTACAGCAGAACTTTATGCTATTCTCTATGCTCTTCGTCTCCTGCTTTCTCGTTGTCAGTCTTCCTTTGTGGTTGTTGTTGACTCTCGTAGTGCCCTCATGGCTCTCGGGTCCTTTAATCCGGTTCATCCAGTAGTTGTCGAGATCCAGCATTGGCTGTTTCTCGTTCACAGTAAATTTAAGTCGGTTGAGTTTTGTTGGGTTCCCAGCCATATTGGTGTGTCTTTAAATGAGCGTGCGGATGCTGCCGCTAAGGAAGCTGTCCGCTCTTGTCCCATCTCTCGTAAAGGCATTCCGTATTCCGACTTTTACCCAGTTATCCATTCCTCAGTTCTTGCCCGTTGGCAGGCTTCTTGGTTGTCTGTTACTGGTAACAAGCTACGTACTCTTAAATGTTGTGTTTCCTCGTGGCCGTCCTCCTTCCACCGTAACCGGCGGTGGGAAACAGCTCTGGCGAGGTTGCGTATTGGCCATACTCGCTTAACCCATGGTCACTTGATGGAGCGCCGCCCTGCTCCTTATTGTCCTAGTTGCATTGTCCCTCTTACGGTCGTGCATGTCCTTCTTGAATGTCCTGACTTCCCGGACGAGCGTGTGTCTTGCTTTCCGACCGCCCCTCGCGGTCACCTGTCCCTCGATAGAATTCTTGGTGACTCGGATACTTTTGATATCGTTCGCCTTATGCGTTTTTGTTCTCGTATTGGCATCCTTGGTGATATTTAGCGCCCTCTGATTATTTTGCGTATTTGATGGTGCTACATAGCCTTCCCGGTTTGGTGCCTTCTTTTGATAATTACTTACTTACTTGAAAGAAAAAGTAACCGCAAGGCAAGGTAATCCTCCCCAGGGGCAATAGATTTCCCAACCTTAATTGTTAATAATACTTCATCCCAAAAGCTACACCTGGTTCCACAGATCTTCATTAAGGGGAGAAAGATATCTAGAAATTTACAGTTTGATAAATGATGGGAAAGATCCCTTACAGTTAATACCTTTGTCAGGAAGACGATGGTTGGCAAGGAGCGGTAGTGTAAAGCGGCCGTTTGATCAGTGGGGTTCTCTAACAACTCATTACCAAATAGCTTTTTCCTCTTGTGATAAATATGTTGCAAGGTAACTATTTTCAATGTTCGCTGATCCTTCCAATAAGCTATATTTCACATGTCTCAAACCAATCCTAAATGATTTTGAAAGGATGAATTTACTTTATCAAAAGATGAAGCAGATCAGTATAGCCTTCACACTGTCTTAGAAAACTTCACTCTTGAAATACTCAGAAGAATCTTTCGTCCTCATCATGCAAAGCTTCATGTTAATTTGGACTACAATTCTATGTATCTGCCCCTGGAGAAAGTTGACTTTGGTTACGAATTTTCAACACTTCTGGCCACTAACTGACAAAACAATTTTACAACCCTGGAAAAGTTTCAAAATGTTCAAGAAAGATGCGATATTTTTTTAGTGAACGCTTGCAAATATTAGCTTCTTTCTCGTATTCTAAGTAATGCTGAAACTATAAAAAAAGGTGAAAAATCTGTTACCTATCATATGCCTTAGCTTACATGGCCACCATTTTCGGAACTTCCGTTAGTATTAGCTGACCAATCTAAGCTTAGTGAAATTGAAAGTCAGTGGCGCCTACTGTTAACCATTGACTAGTCCAACATTTGTAAGGGACAAATTCCGACATCTGAATCGTCATTTTAGACCAAGACAATAACTGTCAAGAACACTGCTGGCGATCCCATACTGATTGACCTCGCTGAGTTTGTGTTGAAAATATACAGTTTGCCAATCAGTAATGCACTGGTTGAACGGATATTTTCGAGAGTAACGTCTGTGAAAACTAAACTGAGAAATCTTGAATGGGAATGGGACTTGAGCTTTTGACATCAGTATTGAGAATCAAAACATATCTTGAAGAAAATGTAACTTGTTGCTCGTCATATGAACAACTCATGTCAATGCTTAAATATGAGTCTGCAATATACAAGAACGAGGTTGTGGATGCAGATCAAGATCTTGGTAATCTTCAACTGTAAAGACGTGGAAGGACTTCACACCCATTAGGCTTCAAACAGTAAATATTGGTAAGTTATCCTATTATCATATTGGTTAAATATATATATATATGCAGAGATAATGTTAATAAAACAATTAAAATCGTTTAATGTACTCTATATATCATAATAGATTACTTTGAAACCCGTATCAGTCGCTTATGTTATATGTGCTGCCAATCTGCTGTATGGTGTTTATAAATCTTGTTTATCTGTATCTTTTGCTACCCAGTCTCCCAATCTTTATGTACCCAATCTGAACATCTTTACCATTGTGATCATTGCTGTCTTATATGTGCTGTCAATCTGCTGTATGGTGTCTATTAATCTCGTTTAAATTACTAATCAAGCTGTCAATGAAATCAATCAGAGCTTTAATATAACAATGTGTTTTAATATACTTACTAATCTCTCTCATCTAATTTTTCTCTTGCAATGTATCTTTATCATTTATAAATTCTGATAGAAATTACCTACTTAAAATTATCTGCTAGATTAAGGACCTGCCCGAAACGCTGCGCGTACTAGTGGCTTTACAAGAATGTAAATACTGTACAATGTATTCTCACAAACCCAATGTACCTTCTTGTATATATATAAATAAATAAAATAAATAAATAAACTTAAACAAAAAATTGGGCTACTCCTATTACAAATTCGCTACTTTTAGACCGTCAGCTCGCTATTTTTAGCAATTTGAATCTGGCAAACGTGTGTTGGTGCAGTAAGCGACCGTTCCTCTCACAACAAACATGGCGCTCAACCTTGTGGCAAAAGTTCACCCGGTGGTGTTTTTCACCATTGTTGACTCTTACGAGAGAAGAAATCCTGATGCTCATAGAGTAATTGGTACACTTTTAGGTAAGGTTGTATTTGGAATGTGACTGTACTTGATTAAGATGGCAAACATGAGCTGCATGTCAATACACAATAGCATGCTTTTCGACCTGCTGTTGGTACCAGGAAATTCCAGCGACCTGTGCACTTGGACTGAAACACCACATGAACCACACTCGCCCACGACACATCCTCCAACCACTCTTAGATATTCAACACACTGTACTACTGGCACGTCAAAGATGACTGATGCAATTATTTTCCAGACGTAAAGATCCGCAATACAACCTTACCTAATCCATCTTAAACTAGCCTACCCTCAACCTAACATAACCCTATACACACTAACCCCACATAATCTAACTTACCCTAACATTTTCTTAATAGCAACTACCTCCCAAACATCGACTCACAAACTCGATCTCTTTACTGAACTAAACTTTGCTGATCGAGCGTAGCTCTTATCCTGTAACTACACTTAGGTAATTACACTTTGGTAATTATACACTTTCAATAGAACAGCAACACTTGGCTACCACCATCAATACAACTCACCTTAACCATCCTGAGTCAAGTTCCAGACCAGCAAATGATATACTGTACTGTATATGATTATTACAGATGATACAATTAGTCTAGCAGATAATTATACTGTCTAAGCTTGCTTATGCAGACTAGGAAGGACCCCTCACAAGACAAGCTAGACATCTGGATAAGCAGAATTCTTTCAGGGAGAGTCCAAAAATGGCCATATTTGCAATTTTTTTGTAACACAACTAACGTAATTTGAATTTCCACACAATAAAATACAAAAAAAAAAGTAAAAAATATACAGTAATATAAAATAAAAATTCAGCTTAGCTTGTTGTAGTTTGTCTTCTCGTTTGATACTGTAGATCTCGAAATGTGTAATTTTTTTAAATTTATATAACCTGACCTCTAGTTCTCGGGATTTGTCAGAATATGGCGAAGTTTTACCTGAAAATTATCCGGACTTGACTTACTCTGTGCCAGTCTGCGATATCTGCACTATCCAGCCAAATCTCCGGTTATCTGGATTACTATCCAGATACAGTATTGTGAAGTTTTGCCAGAATGCAAAATCCGGTTGCCATTTTGGCTGGATAACCCAAATATCCAGTTCAGTGGAATCTGGTTAAGCGAGCTCATACAGTAATAAGTACTTTACAGTACTGTATATGAAGGCTAAATTAAAGTTTTGTAGATGCTTGTAAAAGAAGACAAAAGTAATAATAGTAGAGAGAGGAAACTTGAATATGATATAAGAGTGAATTGGGGAAATGGTGACGGGTGTTAATCAGATTAAGTACCCGAGTTGTATGATTGACTAGAGGAATTTTTGCAAGTGAAGACAAGAGTAGAGGGCAGGAAGAGGGGGTGCAATGAAAGTTCTGGGTAGAGAGATGAAGCTAGGAAGAGGTACAACCAGAGGGCTGTATAGAGGATGTGCCTATCCTTATAAATAAATACATTTATTTATAAAATATAAAACGTTGCTGTTAGGAACATAGAGTAAGGAATATAAAATTAATTAAAAGATGTCTAGTGAAAATGTTGTACAGCTGTCCAATCATCTCTGAGCTGATGCCTAACTACCGTATGTAAGTCAAAAGTTGGATAATGATTGTTATGATGTTAACTATGATTAAATATATTGAGTTCATAATTTTCTGATTAATTACTGCATTAATTAACTGGCATACATCTCCACAGGTACCATAGGTGTTGATAAGGGAGCCATTGAGATAACCAACTGCTTCTGTGTTCCTCACAATGAATCTAAAGAAGAGGTTAGCTGAAGTTATTTAACTGTAAATACTGTATTGGCTACTTAGCATTACATTCTCCAGACCTATCATATGTTTACCAACTCTGAATAACCTTGTAGACAGTATATTACTACTATATAATACTGTATTTAGTATTAAAGTTATAACGGTATAATTATTACAGTATAATTAATATATGATTATATAAGTTATAATTATAATTGTTTTTAACAGTATAACTAACAGTACAGTATAATAAACAAACATTCACGATTTTGTAGCAATTTACAAATTGATATCAGTGTCAGTGGATAGTACGTAAGTGTCCTCACCCATTTGCCTCATAAAAATGAATGATTCAGGTTCACAGTCTGGGCAGGGTGATCATATAGCCAGCATCAGTTTAGATTTGTAGTTCACAATTTCATGACGTCTTTTCAGAATGTAATCTCACATTTTAATCCAAAGAATTTCTGGAATGCCCTGGATTAGTTTGTAATGGTTGGCATATATTATGTCATGTATATTTTATGAAATTGATTACAAAATTATTTTATTGGTCTAAATTAGGTAGCAGTAGAGCTGGACTTCGCTAAAGATATGTATGAATTACATCGCAAAGTGAACCCCGGCGAAGTGATCGTTGGATGGTGGGCCACTGGCCACGAGATCACTGACCATTCCCTTCTGATCCATGATTACTACTCAAGGGTCACCAACAACCCCATTCATCTTACTGTTGACACCACTCTGCATGGAGGCCAGATGAACATTAAGGTATGAATTAAAACAGTCTCTGGATTACTTAGTGTTTGACGAGTAAAACCAAGTGTGTGGCTTGGTGCCGAGTCAGATTTGCTTTAGAATTTTACAAAATTTCTTGAAAGTTGACAATTGGAGGTACTGTACAGTACGGTACTGTACTGTACCGTTAACTGTACATGTTTCATTAGGGGGATTTTGCTCAGATAATTTTGTAATGCCCATCAACATTATCTTTTTATCAAATGATACGTGAATAATACATAATTTACCTGAGGGCCACTAGTGGCTTCAACGAGGACAGGAAGCCAGCGGCTTGTCAAAGGTCCTCCCCATTTGCCCTGGTGTCCTTTCCAGTTAGGTTTTAAAATATAAGTTTTGTCATTTATTATATACTTGACGCTTGTTATAAAGTTTAATTACTCGTAATTAATTGGTATAAAGTTTAATTACTCATAATTAATTGTTATAAAGTTGAATTAACACGTGTCATACTAATCTTTAATGATGTTCCACAGGGGTACGTGAGTGCCAATATGGGGGTCCCTGGCCGCACTCCAGGCACCATGTTTGCTCCTATCCCAGTTGAGGTCATCTCTTACTTGCCAGAAATAGTTGGAAGTGAGTTATATATGTTTATGATAAAGAAATCAAGAAAATTATATAGTAATAGAATTTTATATAGTAATAGCTATACAAAATCTTCCTTGGAAGCCCATTGGGAAGCTTCCTAGTTTATACATTGTTTTCACATTGTTTATACATTGTTCGTTTGACTTGTCAGACTGCAAACTCTTTGAGTGTATGGTAAATGTTCGTCTGATGTGGTTCTTGGAACACCATCACCACCTTCCTTCTCAATTTGGTTTTCGCAAGTGCCGCAGCACAACTGCTGTCGTGGTGAACTTGGAGGTCTATATTCTTACTGCTCTTGCTGCGAGGACCTTCGTTGTTGCTGTTCTTTTTGACCTGGAAAAGGCTTACGACACCACCTGGAGATACCATATTCTGCCTCAACTTCGTTCTTTTGGCCTTCGAGGTAATCTCCCTTTCTTCCTCCAAAGCTTCCTCTCTCATCGTTCCTTTAGAGTCAGACTTGGTGTCACTTTCTCTGCCTCTCTTCGGCAATACGAAGATGTACCCCAGGGTAGTGTTCTGAGCACTACTCTTTTTCTGGTTGCTCTCAATGGTCTTCTTTTCTCCCTTCCTTCTGGCATCTTCTCTGCTCTTTATGTCGACGCTCTTACTCTTTGCTGTCGAGGTGATGATTTGCCTCTCCTTCAACGGCAACTTCAACTTGCGATTGCCGTGGCGTCTTGGGCCACCAATCATGGCTTCAAGTTCCCTGCAACTAAGACTTGTGCTATGATTTTTACTCGGAAGCATGTCGTTCTTCGTGTCTCTTTGTCGCTTATGGTCATCCCCTTGTGTACAAAGATTCCGTGAAGCTTTTGGGGTTAACCTTTGACACTCCGTTTGTCTTGGTCGCCCCATATCTCTTGCCTCCGAGTTGAATGCTCTAAGGCCCTTAACCTACTTAAGGTTTTGTTCCATACTTCTTGGGGAGCGGATAGGCGCACGCTTCTCTCTTGCATTCCTCTCTCGTACTGTCTAAACTTGATTATGGTTGCCCTGCTTACCCTTCTGCTTCTTCTACTCTTCGCCATCTTGATCCTTTGCACTATACTGGGTTGCGCCTCAGCTTTGGTGCCTTTCGTTCAACTCCTACCCTCAGCCTGTACATTGACACTGGCTTCCTGTCTCTCCAGGACTGCCAAGGTCACTACTTTCTTCGGTACCTTGCACAGTCCTTACAACACCCTCAAACTTGCCTGTGTCGTGCTTTGACCTTTCCCCCCTCCTGTAGTTCCTGTTCCTCTTCACCACCTCCCTCTTTCTGTCCGGTTGTCTTGCCTGCAACATTCTCTTTCGGTTAGTATTACTAATATTTCTCCTCGTGTTGTTCCATCCTTGCCCCAGTGGAAGGTCCCCCTTCCTCAATATTGTAAATCCCTGACCCACATCAATAAAGCTTTTACCCCTCCTACAGTTCTGAAACACTTTTTCCTTGAACACTTTTCTTCACATTCCTGCTCTGTTTCCATCTTCACCGATGGGTCAACTTCTGCAGATGGTGTAGGTTACACTTGTTTTTGTTGACCACACCTATATGTGTTGCCTGCCTCCGGAGACTAGCATCTTCCAGCAGAACTTTGCTATTCTCTATGCTCTTCGTCTCCTGCTTTCTCGCTGTCAATCCTCCTTTGTTGACTCTCGCAGTGTTCTCATGGCTCTGGAGTCCTTTAATCCAGTCCATCCGGTGGTAGACCGAGATTCAACATTGGCTGTTTCTTATCTCCAGTAAATTTAAGACAGTTGAGTTGTGCTGGGTTGGTGTCTCGTTAAATATAATGAGCGTGCAGACGTTGCCGCTAAGGAAGCTATCCGCACTTATTCCATCTCTCGTAAAGGTATTCCTTATTCCGACTTTTACCTAGTTATTCATTCCTCCATTCCTGCTCGTTGGCAGGGTTGTTGGTCTTCTGTTACTGGTAACAAACTGCGTACTCTTAAAAGAGTAGTGTGTCCCTGTGGCCTTCCTTCTACCACTGTAACTGGCGGTGGGAAATGGCTCTGGCAAGGTTGCGTATTGGTCATACGCTCTTAACTCAGACACTTAGTGGAACACCGCCATGCTCATTATTTTCCTAACTGCATTGTCCCTCTTACAGTTGTGCATATCCTTGTTGAATATTCTGACTCCCAGGACGAGCATGTGTCTTGCTTTCTGACCGTCCCCCGCGGTCACTTGTACCTCAGTAGAATTCTTGGTGAATCGGATACTTTTGATATTGTTCGTCTTACGGGTTTCTGTTCTCACATTGGCATCCTCGGTGATATTTAGCACCCCTCAGATTATTCCTCATATTTGATGGTGCTGCATGGCTTTCCCGGCTTGGTGCCGTCTTTGATAATAACTTACTCACAGGTATTTAATTTAAAATAAGTAAGTATTGTACAGTATAATATAACGTTCATTACTTTGTATATTACAAGTACAAGTAATTAAAAATTTCAAAATTTTTCATTTAGTGAGATTGAATATTGTGCATTATTTTCTGTTAGACTGCGAGCATGTTTGGTCAGCTCACCATGAAGTGTTGTGTAGTACTGGTAGTCATTATTGTTGTCAGTGGTGGTTGATTATTATTATTATTTTTTGTTTTTCCAGCAAATGTTGCACAAAAAAGTAAATTTAACAGGCAACGTTTAGTGGAATCTACTACTGACTTGCATCAAATTTCTGAAGCCACCCAAAACATGGAAGCAACCCTTGAAGTTCTCATTTGTAAGTACTTTACAGTACTTACGTCTTGTGAGAGTACTGGTAGTTACTTATCTTTGTTTTCTATAATACAGACAAGATCTTCCTAGTTTTCCATGTTAACCCATATACTTTTTTTTTTTTTTTAATTATAAATTAAAGTTCTCCAACTACAGTACAGTATACAGATTCTTATCTTAGTTTTACTTCAAAATATAAAATCTCTACATTTTACTGAATATAAACTTGTCCCTGAATCCCAAATGATGCATTTCTTAACCCAAAACTAAACCTCTTGTATTCTTAAAACATTTGTTCATTCATTTATCATTAGCTTATTTCTCATTTTTATGGACTGGTGAAGCAAGTCTAAAGAAAAAAACACCAGGCATTGACTAATGAAACACCCTTTCTGGTGGGTTGCATTAGTTTATCAAGCTTATATGTTGGTATTGGGAAGTTATGGCTAATCACACCAGGCCTCTTGAAATCCATCCTTGCCTACCAGAAGATGGGACAAGAATTTAATTCACTCTACAAGGTGAGGGGGAAGTTTGGGTAATAGATCGACCCAAATCTGAGAACAAACCCCCATCAGAGAGCATACTTTCAACAAAACCAGTGAGTGTCAATAAAATTGGGCACACTCGGGTAAACAAAGCAAACGTTCAATTGCTGCAGGATAAGTACCTGTGATGTGCGCAACTGCCACCATACGGCAACCCAGGTTACCTGGAGTCTCGGCCAATCTGCCACCTCACTCTGAAATAGCCCGTGCCAAACCCCACTGAAAACAATGGAATATGGCAGGGATGGGAAGCTACTTGGGGCCCACTCCTGAAAGGTGTTGCATTACATTCAATGTACTAGTATTATTTCTGGGAAGGATTCCTAAGTAATTAGCTGAGATTACTCAAAACACCACCTTAGTAGAGGAAACTAGATTTTTCAAACTGGGAAACATGGACAGGGTTGACCCCCCATAAGAACAAGAGGCACATTTAAGTTGACTGCCTGCAGCCCAGCATGTAAAAGAATTGAGGAAAATAGTCAAGAGAGTCAATGAGACCACAATCAAACACAAAACAAAAGTGCAAGTAAACTGCCCCAACACTGGAGGAAAGAGGAGGCAAGAAAGTAATAAACCTTATCCCAGAAAGGATGGAGCCACATCCTCGACTGCACACACACCGTCAATGTAACCAAGAAAAGCTTGAAAAAAGAATCGACTAAAACTCCTGGAGATGCCATGATCTCATTACACAAAAGATCCAGATGCAGGGACTAGGGCCCATAGTCCCGGGGAACCAGCCACCAGAAAATCGTGGCCGGAGACAACTAACATTTTAGTGACAGCCAGAACCCATAGCATGTGGCCTCCAGTGGAAAGGAATAAAAGAGGAACTTGATGATAGGGGGTCACTTGAACATGCAGAGCACCCTGCCTAGAAGACCAAGGACATGGCACCAACTGTGGAAAGATCATGTTGCAAACCTGAATTGAGAAATAACTTCTCAATTTAGATTAGGGAAATGCCCTAAATCCTGCCCACACTGCAGGGAGGAAGAGGAAAACTATGGAGATAGGACAAAATTTTGGCCTATTTGCTCCAAGGCCCATTGCCATGGAGGCTCTCTTGTGCTCATTACCCTAGCAGGTTCGTGTATCAGGTACAATGGCCCAACAGCCTTGGGCATACAGTATTGGCCCAGCAGCCTCTTGCTTACAGCCTGGAAAAAACCAAGAGCCCTAGAAAAAGCCACAGGTACACAGTCCATGAAAACCTCCAGGTATGCAGTCTATAATACTCTGGCCACACAGCCCACAACTCCCCAGGACATAGCTCAAAACACCTGAGTGCACAGTCTGAAAACCCCCAGTGATCTCTGAGCATGGGCATCTCTGGGCTCAGAGTCCAGGAACACATTCGTTAATACTCATGGGCTCCTGAAACTACCTGCAGACTGAAGTAGAAGCAGCAAAGGAAGTCGACAGTCTCTTGCATTAGTGTCCAAGGCCAGATGGTTGGAAAGCTCAAAAACAATAAGAAAGTATCATTCACACCACATGCCTGTAATGGAAGTAAGTAATTATCAAAAGAAGGCACCAAACTGGGAAGGCTATGTAGCACCAGCCTGTAACAGAAGGCCTGGTTTTGTAAATGGGCTGCAACCCAGTAGACAGTTGTGTAAAAATTAATTTTTTACTCTCAAAAGTGGTTTTCTTCAGAATTACTACCCAGCCTATGATAAAAACAAAAATACTAACATTATTATTATTTTACTAGTTTTTCATATGACATTGAAGATCTGTATTCACAATTAACATAAAATTTGTTAAATTATTTTTCTTGCATAAAAATGTATTAATGTTTGAATAACTGGAACAAGTCGTACATCTCTTCAGCATATGTTGATGACGTCCTGAGTGGAAAAGTACAAGCTGACAATTACATCGGTCGTGAGTTAACAAGGATGGTAAACCAGGTTCCTAAGATGTCTGCTCATGACTTCGAGGAAATGCTCAACACCAATATGAAGGTACGGAATAATGTTGCTAATAAGACACCCACACGATGTCAAACACAATGGACACATTTAAACAGTTTTGAGGTCAAGATGCCCATGTGGGAGAATGGTAAAAATATGTTAACTATTAGGAGAAATGCTTATCCATTGTTTCTATAGAGCAGGAGAATAGTCAGATTGGTATGTCTCCTGCTGTGGTTTGTTCAGAGTTGATTATTTAGTTATTTGAACATTTAGTTAAACCTCTTTCCTGCTGGAAATTGTGCCTATTCACTTGTGTGTAGTGAATATTAAGCTTTAATTAATTTTAAAGAAATACCAGGTTCTTTCAGCAGAAGCTGTTGCTGTCAAAATTTCATTGTGCAGGTGATAAGCAAAGATGTTTGCTTGTTTGTTTGCATAATGAATAAATTCTAAATTAAGATAAACAGAAACAAAAATATTTATATACAAGAAGGTACAATGGGCTATTTTATAAAAAGCTTACTTGTGTATATTTTCAGTCGGCATAATGCTTAATGATATGGTGTCACTTGATTATTTAAATACTGTGACTTTAAAGGTGTACAAGGTTCTGATAAAATACAAGGGGTGTATTGGAAGAAATTAGGGCTCCACCTCCACCTAGCAGAATATACCTGTACATGTTTCATCAGTTTATCAATTCATTCCACATGCCCAGAGCATCTCACTTTACTTTCCTTGAATTTTGTTTTTAATCAACTAGTGCACATATCTTTCAGTGACATTTTCATTCTTACCTTTCCTCCCAGTGCATATATACTTCTCAGATAATCCATTTCTAACACATTTTTTATTTTCACATTTATGCTTTGCCAGTCTTGCATCTGTACATAATTGTCAGTATGACAACTTCTTCATACAACTATGTGTCCTCCTCTTGTTTTATTGAGGCAGTTCTTGCATTACACTAACTAGTTTCCATACCTGACTTACAGCAATTTTCCTTACCTCTTGCACAAATGACTGTTTCAGTTATTATACATTTCACACAATTCAAATGATTTCACTGCTCAAAACTTTCTCCATTCACACAGACTACATAAAATGTTAGAACAGTGGTCATTGCATTGAATACACAACTAAAAGTTTGCTTTTGTAGAATGAAGAAGGTGCTGTAGATAAATAAGCAGAAGTGGTATTCTTGTATATGACCAGAAGTATGGATAAATGTATAAACTATTGGGGAAGCAGCTTGCAGAGCACACAATGGTAAAATTCAGTAAAGCTATAATTAAGAGGTTGGGGGAATTAAGTAATGGTGAGCAATTTAGAACAGTGGAGAGAGAATTGGGTCATTCCAGAAGACATTGGAAAAACAAACTGATAAATAAAATTGATTGGACATTGGCATCATAAAATAAGTGATAAATTCAAGGTACTTTGGTACAGTCAAAATAAAGGGTACAAAGCACAATTCTCCCCATAGTAGGAAAACAATGCATGAAGGATCTGGGAGTAATAATGTCTGATAGTCAAATGTTTAGGAAGTATATCTCAGCAAATATAAAACATCTTGGTCCTCCAGGTGTGTCTCTTACATCTCCCACATTAACTTGAAGTCTGTCTTGTGTTGTTTCTAGTCACTTGGACACCAATATGGTACCGATTTGAAGACCTGGAACCTCTTGTCGAGGTCTTCCTAGATTTCTTTGTCATACTCCAAGAATGTTTCTGCAGTCTAATCACGTGGACTTTGCTTTTGCTGCAATGTCATTCTCAAACTGCTTTTCTACTACAGGTACCTACCTGATTCTTGTTTTATTTGGCTCTTACCTGGAGAGGATCTTGGGAGTTGGGAGTCTACTCCCCAGGCCGAACTTGTGATAACTTGATCCAACAGGCTGTTGCTTGGAGCTGCCCGTAGGCCCATACACAGCCCGGTTAGTCCGATACATCTTGCAAGAAATTGTGTACACTTTCCAGGCCCTCTTTAGTGCCTCCCCATTTGCTTCTGTACCCATATACTATTTCCATGACACATTTTCCAGTGACCCAGTGAGTATTGAGCTAGTGATCTAAATGTGGTCAGAGATTATTAGTGTTGTGTGACCAAATTAGAAAAAAAAGGTCATGTAGTTTTATTTCAAATTTGTGTTATTCTTTCAGCCAAGTTAATAAATTTTTTACAGGATCTCTTGATGGTGATCTACCTGTCTCAACTGACCAAGGTCAACGTGAGTCTCAATGAGAAGTTAACGATGCTGATAGCCACACAGTAATCTTTGCCATCCAGCATGTGAGGAAGATCATTCTCATGCAGAAGAAAAATAATTGTTTAAAATATACTCTGACGTTCAGAATTGTGAAGGAAAATAAAGTCAGATCCTCGTCATTTTTTGTTTGTCTGACCTTTGTGGTATTTTAAAAGCACGAGGTTTTTATTAAATTTAAAATATGTTAATGAAACTTTATTTCATCTAGCAAAGAAATGAACAAAACTTTTAGACAATTCCATAAGATGGTGTGTATGTGTGTGCATACACTACTGATGTGTATATTCATATTCAGGTAATCTATTATTTCAGACATTTTCCAGGTTTTACTGAACATTGTACATTAACAAACTACATGTTTTAGAGATTATATAAACTTAGGTTGCCTCTCCACAAAGTGTGGTTGCAGCAGTGAGAGCTTGTATCTTCAACAGTGTGTTGGGTAATGGTAAACTTAATCCAAAGTAGGTTAAAGTTACACCAAGTGCAGGGTTGCCAGATTCAAATTGCTAAAAGTAGCGAGCTGACGGTCTAAAAGTAGCGAATTTGTCATAAGAGTAGCCCAATTTTTTGTTTAAGTGACTGATACGGGTTTCAAAGTAATCTATTATGATATATAGAGTACATTAAACGATTTTAATTGTTTTATTAACATTATCTCTGCATATATATATTTAACCAATAAAATAATAGGATAACTTACCAATATTTACTGTTTGAAGCTTAATGGGTGTGAAGTCCTTCCACGTCTTTACAGTTGAAGATTACCAAGATCTTGATCTGCATCCACAACCTCGTTCTTGTATATTGCAGACTCATATTTAAGCATTGACATGAGTGGTTCAAATGACGAGCAACAAGTTACATTTTCTTCATGATATGTTTTGATTCTCAAGACTGATGTCAAAAGCTCAAGTCCCATTCCCATTCAAGATTTCTCAGTTTAGTTTTCACAGACGTTACTCTCGAAAATATCCGTTCAACCAGTGCATTACTGATTGGCAAACTGTATATTTTAAACACAAACTCAGCGAGGTCAATCAGTATGGGATCGCCAGCAGTGTTCTTGACAGTTATTGTCTTGGTCTAAAATGACGATTCAGATGTCGGAATTTGTCCCTTACAAATGTTGGACTAGTCAATGGTTAACAGTAGGCGCCACTGACTTTCAATTTGACTAAGCTTAGATTGGTCAGCTAATACTAACGGAAGTTCCAAAAATGGTGGCCATATAAGCTAAGGCATATGATAGGTAACAGATTTTTCACTTTTTTTTTATAGTTTCAGCATTACTTAGAATACGAGAAAGAAGCTAATATTTGCGAGCGTTCACTAAAAAATTATCGCATCTTTCTTGAACATTTTGAAACTTTTCCAGGGTTGTAAAATTGTTTTGTCTGTTAGTGGCCAGAAGTGTTGAAAATTCGTAACCAAAGTCAACTTTCTCCAGGGGCAGATACATAGAATTGTAGTCCAAATTAACATGAAGCTTTGCATGATGAGGACGAAAGATTCTTCTGAGTATTTCCAGAGTGAAGTTTTTTAAGACAGTGTGAAGGCTATTCTGATCTGCTTCATCTTTTGATAAAGTAAATTTATCCTTTCAAAATCATTTAGGATTGGTTTGAGACATGTGAAATATAGCTTATTGGAGGGATCAGCGTACATTGAAAACAGTTGCCTTGCAACATATTTATCACAAGAGGAAAAAGCTATTTGGTAATGAGTTGTTAGAGAACCCCGCTGATCAAACGGCCGCTTTACACTACCGCTCCTTGCCAACCATCGTCTTCCTGACAAAGGTATTAACTGTAAGGGATCTTTCCCATCATTTATCAATCTAAATTTCTAGATAACTTTTTCTCCTTAATGAAGATCTGTGGATCCAGGTGCAGCTTTTGGGATGAAGTATTATTAACAATTAAGGTTGGGAAATTTATTGCCCCTGGGGAGGATTACCTTGCCTTGCGGTTACTTTTTCTTTCAAAGGTTCCTAGGATCAACGTCCCCAGGGGCCGGTCTCTGACCAGGGTTCTCCTGCGGTAAGTGGTCTAGTCAATCAGGCTGATGGACTCGGCTGTGATTTGTACAGATTATATTATTAAAGCATAAATAATCATCATTGAGTTTCTTAATATTAATAGCCCAAAGTAGCCCAACTTGCCTTTAAACTAGCCCAAAAAGTCGCAAGTAGCGAAATTAAAAATTTGGGAGCGTGGGGCTCTCAAAAGTAGCCCAATTCGCTACTTGTAACCCAATTTATTTATTTATTTATTTATTTATTTATATATATACAAGAAGGTACATTGGGTTTGTGAGGGTACATAGCATGGTGTTATACATTCTTGTAAAGCCACTAGTACGTGCAGCGTTTCGGGCAGGTCCTTAATCAAACAGATAATTGTAAGTAAGTAAATTCTAGCAGAATTTATAAAATGTTAACAGGTACATTGTAAGAAAAAATGAGAGAGATTAGTAGGTATATAAAAGCACATTGATGGCTCTGATAATTTAACAATGATTAATAGGCACAATACAGCATATTGATAGCACATATGAGACGACAGCAATGATCACAATGGTAAAGTTGGTTGGCTTAGGTACATAAAGATTGGGGAATTGGGTAGCACTAGATACAGAGCAATTTTAAAGCAGAAGATAGGAAACTATGAAGATGAAATTAGGTACTTTTTTGTTTTTGTTTTTGAATGAGGCAAAAGTTGGACAGCTTTTCAATTCATTAGGAAGTGAGTTCCATAGACTGGATCCCTTTATTTGCATAATGTTTACACATTAAGTTTGACTCTGAGGATATCAAAGAGAGATTTATTTCTGGTGTGGTGATAATGGGTCCTATTACATCTGTCCAGGGAGAGTTTCAGAGCATGGTTTGCATTTAAGAACAGGGTTTTCAAATCAAATCAAATCAAATGTTTATTTAGGTAAGGTACGTACATACAAGAGATTTTACAAAGAGTGATTGATATATAGATAGGGCTAGTACATACAATGCCTAAAGCCACAATCTGGCAACCCTGTTCTGACTCTGCACCTATTTTCATTTTCAAATTACGACTTTTTACACCGAAAATATGCCAATTACTGAAAACGGCGATGGGTTATATTTTGCCCAAACCCCCCTGCAGTTTTCAAAATGTCGGAAATTTGACTCCTGAGCGTGATTTTTGAGCCGAATTCCAACTCTCTGCACCTATTTTCATTTTCAAATTACGAATGTTTATACCGAAAATAGGCCAATTACTGAAAACGGCGATGGGTCATATTTTGCCCAAACCCTCCTGCAGTTTTCAAAATATCTGAAATGTCGGAAATTTGACTCCTGAGCGGGATTTTTGAGCCGAATTCTGAGACCAACACTCTCCCAGGCGGACAGACACTACATTCATAAAAAAATTATATATATATATATATATATATATATATATATATATATATATATATATATATATATATATATATATAACTGAAAACTCACACCCCAGAAGTGACTCGAACCCATACTCCCAGATGCCACGCAACTGGTATGTACAAGATGCCTTAATCCACTTGACCATCACGACCGGACATAATGAGGTGATAGCCGAGGCTATTTGAACCACCCCACCGCCGGCACTCGGATAGTAATCTTGGGCATAGCATTTTACCAAATCACCTCATTCTTTGGGGCACACGTGAGGAACACAAATGCGAACAAGCCTGAATGGTCCCCAGGACAATATGCAACTGAAAACTCACACCCCAGAAGTGACTCGAACCCATACTCCCAGATGCCACGCAACTGGTATGTACAAGATGCCTTAATCCACTTGACCATCACGACCGGACATAATGAGGTGATAGCCGAGGCTATTTGAACCACCCCACCGCCGGCACTCGGATAGTAATCTTGGGCATAGCATTTTACCAAATCACCTCATTCTTTGGGGCACACGTGAGGAACACAAATGCGAACAAGCCTGAATGGTCCCCAGGACAATATGCAACTGAAAACTCACACCCCAGAAGTGACTCGAACCCATACTCCCAGATGCCACGCAACTGGTATGTACAAGATGCCTTAATCCACTTGACCATCACGACCGGACATAATGAGGTGATAGCCGAGGCTATTTGAACCACCCCACCGCCGGCACTCGGATAGTAATCTTGGGCATAGCATTTTACCAAATCACCTCATTCTTTGGGGCACACGTGAGGAACACAAATGCGAACAAGCCTGAATGGTCCCCAGGACAATATGCAACTGAAAACTCACACCCCAGAAGTGACTCGAACCCATACTCCCAGATGCCACGCAACTGGTATGTACAAGATGCCTTAATCCACTTGACCATCACGACCGGACATAATGAGGTGATAGCCGAGGCTATTTGAACCACCCCACCGCCGGCACTCGGATAGTAATCTTGGGCATAGCATTTTACCAAATCACCTCATTCTTTGGGGCACACGTGAGGAACACAAATGCGAACAAGCCTGAATGGTCCCCAGGACAATATGCAACTGAAAACTCACACCCCAGAAGTGACTCGAACCCATACTCCCAGATGCCACGCAACTGGTATGTACAAGATGCCTTAATCCACTTGACCATCACGACCGGACATAATGAGGTGATAGCCGAGGCTATTTGAACCACCCCACCGCCGGCACTCGGATAGTAATCTTGGGCATAGCATTTTACCAAATCACCTCATTCTTTGGGGCACACGTGAGGAACACAAATGCGAACAAGCCTGAATGGTCCCCAGGACAATATGCAACTGAAAACTCACACCCCAGAAGTGACTCGAACCCATACTCCCAGATGCCACGCAACTGGTATGTACAAGATGCCTTAATCCACTTGACCATCACGACCGGACATAATGAGGTGATAGCCGAGGCTATCACCTCAGGCATCTTGTACATACCAGTTGCGTGGCATCTGGGAGTATGGGTTCGAGTCACTTCTGGGGTGTGAGTTTTCAGTTGCATATTGTCCTGGGGACCATTCAGGCTTGTTCGCATTTGTGTTCCTCACGTGTGCCCCAAAGAATGAGGTGATTTGGTAAAATGCTATGCCCAAGATTACTATCCGAGTGCCGGCGGTGGGGTG